TTGTCTTTTAAGATGTTGATTAGAAGTTCATCAGCACAAGATAAGAAGGAATCCTGGTATCACACAAGCTTAGGAAACAGGATTGATGATCCAACAGTGAGGAAATACTCCTTCCTGGGCTGTCTGTCATGTCATTAAGCTGACAGTATACCCTGCTATTATCTCTACCTAGAACATTCTATTCTTTCCTCCATGCATTAGCTAACTTCTCTCATACCTCTGGCTTCATTGCCTTTTTCAGGCACCTGACCCACACAAGTGTTCCTACCATGAGTTCCTAGGGTATCTGCATCTCCCATGTTGACACTGTCACAGACACTATCAATTATTGTCTCTCAGCTCTATGTGAGAAAGAAAGCATCTGCCTTGTTCAACATTGTATCTCTCAGACCAAACACAGTTCCTGGCAGAAAGCCCAGTCTCAGTAAATATCTGTCAAATGAATGGATGTGTTGATGCAAATCACCAGTGGCTTCCTTCTTCACAGAGAGAATTCTAGAAAGTTGTTTACCAGCTCAGAGTTCCTATGTCAAGATATGAGAAGCATGATGGGATGACTTGTCATGTGGTCTCCAGGCACAGCCTAGGGTATTCCTAGTCTTCTAGATACTTCCAGCTACCTCTTCTGGGTCAAGAAGCTCCATCTTTTGGGGGAATGTGTTGGATGGCCCTTATGAGAGGGCAGCACATGGGTCATCTTGCATCACCCTCTCATCCTAACTGACCTCAAGTCACAGGTATGTGGATCATCTGGGGTGTCCAACTATGCCAGAAATCAGGAGTATGCTACAGCCGAGTCTTGTTCACCATGTGGCTATTTTCCAGTACATCCGTGAATATCCATCTACACACTGCCTGTCTTCAGATTACAACGATCTACATATCTATTCCATTTGGAACAGCTAATGCATGACAGCTCTATTTGTGTGCTCATCTGAGACTAGTCTGTTGTGTCAGACTAACTATGGGTTGTGGAATGTCTGCCTCTAAATGTTTGGGGAATGCTCCAGTAAAGAAGCATTCTACCCAAACGGCCCTACCCTCTCCCAGAGAAAGTAACTCTAACACATGTCAGACCGTCCCTTTATTCAGACACAAGCAGGACCATTCTGGATATTTTTTTTTTGGTGGCAGTGGAGCTGGGGTCTTAACAGAGAGAAAGGGAGAAACTTGAGGTACTTCTAGACTGAGGAACAGAAAATGTGATTCTACCCATGGGGCAATTACATAAAACTTGGCACAAAACACTGCTAATGGTCTCCTCGCCTATATCCTACCTATGCTGTGACCAGACAGACAGATTTCAACTCTCTTACGAACACAAACACCTGAGTATTCATTATAGCAAGGCTTCTACTTCTAGCTGATCAGAATAATTTGTAAGTGGAGGCCCCAGATTCTCTTTCTGGAAATTCAGATTAATTAGGTCTGGAATGGACTCCAGATTCTGCAACTACTATGGCCCGGTGTCTGTGCCAGAGGAGCTATGAATAACTTACCAGTTCTGGAAGGCACCTCTAAGACTTCTGGCCTGGTTCCCTCATCCTGTAGTGAAGAGCAGAGGTTTATAAAGAAGGAAAGAATAAGAACTGCAGGACTTCAAAGCAGGACACAGCCCTAGAGAGCATCTTTCTTGTATTCACTTGGACTAACTAGAGCCTCATTACTGCCTGTCGGGCCTGGCTCTGAGGCAGCCTGGCTGACCAGGTGCGGGAGCAGGTGACCTCGGCCTCACACCCATGGTGACTTAGCCAGGGCATTGGCACTCCTGGGCAATAGTCTCCCAAAAAGTGGAAACGACGCATTGTCTCAGCCACGTGCTCCAAGGGGAGGCTCTGGGGGGCTTTGAGCACCTTTACAGGTCTTTATACATGATACTTTTTGCTCTGAAATTGGATCCTTAGCCCTGGTCCTAGGGACACTTTTGAGTTTTGTTCAAATGTTTGAACAAAATAGAAATGGAAAGAAAAGGCAGAGCTGGGAGGTAGGTTGCCCTGGAGGGAGGGCGGGGCCTGGAGCAAGTATGGGAGTCTTAGTCCAAAGCCAATGTCAAGAGCCCTAAGATTCTAAACCACAGTCATAATCACAGTCACCATTTCAAATGCACTTTACAAGTCCCAAACTTTTAGCACACAGACAGAAGCCAAAGACCCACAGGCACACAGAGAGCCTCACACAGCCCTGAGGACATGCACACACATCCTTCCTTTCCTCTGGCTGTTCCCACAGGACTGGCCTGGAGGCTGCAGGCTGGGCATTCTGGAAGAGGAAGTGTCTCGGCCCTTTGAGGCCAATTCAAGGTCGAGAGAGGACATGTGAGGCCGAGGGCCTCTGGCTATGGAGTGGGTTAGCCAGACCTTGGTCTATGAGCCAGCACCAGACATGGGGGATTCCCTCACTCACGACAGCCTGCATCACCAAGCGTCCCCTCTAATATACCACCATCCAGGCCCTTTCCACACCCAGCCCTTGCTAACCTACACTGCACCTGCTCCTGAGAACAGTGCAGGTCTTGGGTCATTGTAAAGAGGGTATGGTGACCTATGCTCTGCACCTGGAGTGGGCCCAGCTTCTGAGGAGTAAATACCCTGCTTCATGGCTGGCTCTGTGTTCAGTTTGTTGAAGAGCTGAACTTCTCCCCACCCACACTGAAGATCAGGGGGCCCTTGTCCAGCAGTGTGTTTGAGAGAACAGGGGAGAGGTTGAAGGAACATCCACACCTGGAGTTCTCAGTCTCTGTTCTTCCCACCCTCAGTCAGGTACCTGGGCCAAGGGAACCCAGGCATGACCCCTCACCCACATCGGAGCCATTCAGGTCCTGTCAGAGCCCTGGGGACATGTGTCAGAAGGTGGGTACACTCCAAAGGCTGGCTAGGTTTTAAGAGAGGAGGCAAATGTAGAGCTGATAAAAGTCAACTTGTTTAATTGTGACATAAGTCTTAAACGATGTTGGAAAAGTGACAGAGCTGATACAGGTAAGGTCTTTTGGAGAAGCAGGGGCTGCGGCCAACATGAAAGGGACCATCTATAACAGGAAAGTGTGTAGGAGCCACATCAGGTCTGGCAGACAGTTCCGCAAGTCACATCAGTACTGCGAGCTCAGGTTCCCATCTGTGCAAAATGCTAGGATAAATATGCCTGTGGATGGGCTGTTGTGGAAATTAAGGGGTACACACACACACACACACACACACGCACCTACACACACAAACACGCACACACAGACACACACACATGTACCTACACACATGAGCACACACACACATTCATATTCTACCTGTGTAAGGCATTTCATCCAACCAGTAATGACCAAACCATTTGCTTCAGTCAGTCTGGGTGACACATCCGCACTTCTCACAGGGTCCTAAGTGATGTTGACACACAGGTCCAGGCATCCCAGTGACAATCGTGTGCTCTTGTAAGCTCTCTGAGGGCAACCAGGGGCTATGTGTGTTATCTTTACCAGCATCTTCCTGGTAGGCCAGAGTGAACATTGGTTCATTTTCATAAAGAAAATGACTGAATGGATTTCAGGTAAAACACCTTAGTTTTCCTTTGGACAACATGGGCAAGTAGGTGGCCTCGTGCGCCTCACAGGATTGGGGCAAGGGAAAGTCATCCTCAGAGCCAGGCTCAGTGTAGATGCTCAGCCATGGAGTTGCAGTGCATTTTGTGGGTTCTGGCCTGGCAGGAGGAGAGTAATATTGACCAGGCCAGGGCTCCCCTGCTCTCCTAAGGTGTCCTTTCACCCCATACAGACCCCTGTGGTCTCCGGGCTCCCTCCTCTCCTCCTCTCAGAAGGCCCCTCCCAGGAGCACTCATTCCTCAGCATGTGTCCCCAAAGTGCCTGCCTCCTCTGGGGGATGTGGGAGGAAGTTATAGCCCTCTTCTGCCCTCCCACCCCGAGCCCCAGCTCCATGCAGCCAGGATCCCCAGTGCCTATGAGACTTGGGAACAACTTAGGAATGTAGACTTGCTATAAAGTAAGAAAAATGAGTGAAAGAAGGGTGTATCCTACAGAGTTTCCAAGAGAGCTCCTACTTCCCTGTGGGCTCCCTTCTCTCCAGTCCTGACTCCACAGAAGTTACAAAGTGCTGGCTTCAGAGTCCTGGACCTGCCCAGACAGACATGAGACCTTTGCTCCTAGATTGAGGATGCTTCATGCCTTTTCAGCAGGGTCCAGGGAGGCTGAGGGATGCCTGCTCTAGCCAAAGGAAAGCTCTGAGCATGAATGCGATAAACCCAGGATGAAAAACATGGCTCAAACAATAAAAGCTCTTCCCAGAGAGTCAAGGAAAAGGAAAAAAAAAAAAAACAGTATTATGTGGGACTCGGCATGATGGTATAATCACCTTTATTATTAAACGCCCTGTGTTGTGGGTGTTGGGGTTCCCCATCAGCACAGATGGTGGCTCCAGCCACCAGCGCACGGACTCTGCGAACAGCTGCCCACCCAGACAGAAGCATACTTTAGGGATGTCCTGACTCCATTCAAATGGGAGTTCACAACCTACTTGGGCAAGCAGGACAGACACACCTGAGTAATGAAACAACTCTAGCAATATTGCAAGGCAATCCCCAGATGGATGGAGTGAATGATGGAGTTCCAAGGGAGAGATCTCAGGGTCACACTTCAGATGCAGGGAGTCACAGAGAAGTGGCCCAGGAAGGAGGGGCCGGGAAGGACAAGCAGAGGCTTGGAGGTAGAGACACCAAGGTATGTTCCAGGGAACACCCAGGATGTGCCCTGGCTGCCAGACTGGTCTGGCTAGAAATGAGCAGGGGAGGAGTCAGGTGTGACTACAAAGGTGTCAGAGACCCAGGTGTGGCTGCTGAGCGGCATGCAAAGGAGTTTGCTTAGGAGCATCACCCCTCTGCAGCAGGGAGCCTCTGACTGTCTTTGGAGACATGCAAACAAGAACAAGTTGAAAATTGCGGTTGCTGAGAAAAGAGGACAGGTCTTTTCCAGGCGAGGGGCAAGGGTGCCTCAGTCATTGCCTTTAAAAATAGGCACCTTTTATACCACCATGGTCCCCAGCTTTGACTCCAGCAGAGCCACCTCCTTGGTCTCCACAGCCACCCAGGCCCCGGGGCTCTGGAAAGACATCACAAGGGCCACAGCTCCCACTCTCTTCCCAGTGGTGGTAACCAGCCGGGCCACAGCTGGGGACCTCAGTGTCCAGGTGGCGTGGACTGGACTCGTGGCAGCCTAAATCTCCTGGGCATTGGATCCGGTTTGGGCTGGAGCAGGGACTGGAGCAGCGTCGAGGTTCCACACAGGGCTCTGGGCTTGAGCAGGGCGCCGGCAGGGGAATTGGCTCTGGAAACGAGTGAGATTCCCGGCGCTCACGGGGGCGTGGCACTGGAGGCTCGCACTGTGCAGGACAAGGCCGCGGGGCCTGGCGCGGGGCCGGGCGTGGGGCCTGACGAGGGGCCGGACGCGGCTCTGGACACAGACTGGGTTCTGAAAGTCGCCGAGGTGGGGGACACGGATAGGGCTCTGGACTCGAGCACGGCTCCGGGCGTGAGTAAGGACGCGGAGCCGGAAGTGGACAGCGCAGCGGTGATGGCTCTGGGTAGCGGTCCAGACGCCGGGACGGGCAGAAGCTCGGAAGTGGACGTGGCTCTACACAAGGCTTCAGGTCCGGGCAAGAGCCGCCCCAGGAGGGTCGTGGGGCACAGCTCTCGGAGCAGCGACCCATGGGAGGAATCTGAGTACGACACTTCAAGGGAGGAACCTGCCTGGGGCAGCATGGGGAGGAAATCTCCACTCTGTACTTGGGTCCACATCTCTGGGAGCTGCCTGAAGTGGGACCCCTAGGACAGCCGCCACCATAGATGGGCTCAGAGCGCCGGGGCGGGGTACAGTAGCTATAGGAACCCGAAGGGCAGCTGTTGTAGTGGGGCTCAAAACGTCGTGGTGGGGAACAGCTGCGGTAAGCAGGCTGCTGCTGGCGGGGAGGGAGGCACCTGCTGGCGCTGCGAGAGCGACGCTGGGTGGTGAAGCCCCCACTCGAGCCTTGGCATTCATACTGGGGGGCATAGGTGCCAAAGGAACCCCCGCACTGACGCTGCGGGGCGCAGCTGCCGTAAGAACCCCGGGACTGGTACTGAGGGGCACAGTTGCTGTAGGAAGGCCTGGACTGGAACTGGGGGCCACAGCTGCTGTAGGGTGCAGCGGGCTGGAACTGGGAGCCACAGCTGCTATAGGGTGCAGCGGGCTGGAAGCGGGGAGCACAACTTCTGTAGGGTGCCGCGGGCTGGCATTGAGGGGCACAGCTGCTGTAGGCAGTCCGGGACTGGAACTGGGAGGCGCAGCTGCCATAGGCGCCCTGATACTGGCCCTGGGTGGGGAATCCTCCCTGAGTCTGGCACACTGGCGGGCATGCTAGGTAAGTCTGGACACACTGGGGAGCTGGTACAAAGGTCTGCACTGGACACTCCACAAAGCAAGTTTCTGTGTAACAAACAGGAGCACCTCCTACGTAGCAGGTCTGAGTAGCACCGGGGGCTTCGTGCTGCAGGTAGGAAACACCAGACTGACCTGGAGCCTGGCTTTGGCCATAGGAAGCTTGCGGCTGGCTGGAAGCCTGGCCCTTCACCAGGATGCCCTTAGCCTGGCCCTTCATCGGGGCTGTTTTAGACTGGCCCTTCACCTGGGTGGTCTCAGAAGAGCACGGAGCCTGGGAAACTTGAACTGGACCGGGTGCAGGGCACTCCACAATTTGCATCTCACAGGGGGCTTGGACCACCACCTGGCTGTTGCCACAGGAGGCCGGCGAGGGGTAATAGTAGGAGCCCTTCACACAGCACATGGGGAGTGGCAGGCAACACGGAATCTGCTGTTGGTCACACATGTTTCTGAAGCAGGCGGGTGACTGGGACCTGAGGTAGAAAGAGCAGGTCAGGACGGTGAGACTTATTGGCAAGGAGAGGTCAGGATCAAGGAGCGACACCCTGCTTCTTCCCGGGCCTTTCCTCCCCTGCGTGATCTTTCCCCAAGAATCTGTCCTGGTAGCCGGCCTCAAGATTAGTCACCACTGCCTACCTTGAATGTGCAAAAGGCCCAACCTGGGTGTTTTTCGGAGGGTGCTCAAAGGCACAGTCAGGGTTGGGGTATCCAGGGTCTCCCCCTAGAGGGAAGGTATACAGTGCCCAGACAAGGAGGCCCTGGTGGCAAGAGGATTCCCATCACTTCTTGGGTCCTAAGTGCGGGAGGAGGGAGCACCCTAATAAACGAAGGTTGGGCCCTCCCTGGTGGTGCAGCAGGTTAAAGCACAGCACTGAGAAGCTAAAGCCACTTCAGCACGAGTTCAATCCCTGACCCAGAGGTGACCACATGGCGCGGCAGACCTCTCCTGACCTGCCCACTGCTCCCCTCAGCAGTGCACTTCATCAGTTGGCCTGTTCTGCTCCCCACTCTGTCTCTGGTGAATCCTCTCACCACCGCTGCACCTCTGGCCGGTACCCCAGTTTTGTATGCATAAATAAATAAATCTTGAAAAAAAAAGAAAGAAAGAAATGGAGGCCACACTGTAGCCCCCAAGGGGAGCTGCACTCCCACAAGAGTGTGGACATCCTCAAACACTAGCAGGACACTCAGGTATGCAAGCATGTCAGAGTGCACACCCGAGAACACACACTCAGGCACCATCTGTGCTCCAAGCTCTACTGGAAAGTAGAGAATCCCCCCGTTACTGGGCAGCTCAAACAGCATAAAATCTTTGTTTCCCTATATTTAATCTTTCTTAGGCGAATTTACTTAGATCAGTTCTTGGAGACATGTGCAAAAAACATGCACATACAAAGCACAGCTCCCCGGAATGCTCAGAAGCAGCATGGCAACTTGCCCAGGCAGGTTGCATTCCTAATCTCGTGAAGTGGGACAGTCTCACTTGGGAAATGTCTTTTCCAGGCCTGTCTGAGAGGTAGGTGGGGGTTACTTAAGATGAGAGTAACCCAGAAAATTCAAAGTTCTCATGGCAAGCCTGGCTGAGCCACACACAAAGCTTTGCCCTGCCGCAGTCTTACAAACATGATGTGGGGTTCCCAGCTTCCTCCCAACAGCACACTCAGCTGAGGGGAGACAGCAGGCAACCCCATCTGCTGCCTTCTGAGAAACTGCTCTTTCATGTAGAAACAGCCCAGCCACGCACACAGCACGGGCTCATTTGACAACTAGTTCACCCAACAAAACACTTTTCAATAAGTTCCTGAAAATGTTTCTAATGAAGAGCAAGGCTTTCCGATGCCTATGTATAGAGAATCTCTAAATACATATGCCCTGGGGGAAGGTAACCCTCCCCACACAGACCAGTTCACAAGGTGTAAATTACAATGCACCCCCTCCACCCCCGACCCCTCACTGGGAGAGATGTGTTGATGACAGAAAACGCTCTTTTTCCAATGTCCCCTAAAGGTCCCCAGACTTTTCTCCTCAGGCTGAGGGACTACTCTTCCTCTACTCCCAGCTTCTCTCCTTGCTATGCCTCATTCTCATGAATTTGAGCACCCCTATGAATATTATCCCCACCCCAATCCCAGGACAAACCCCTAGACTTACCCTCCTCACAGGCAGACAGGCATTCAGGCTGAGGAAACTGGACAGAGGGCTGTCTTTTTATAAAGTGCTATGGGTCTAGCTTAGGCCGTGAGACAGCTGGTTGGCATCTTCTGGTTCATTACCCAGGTTGACATTCCAGGAGCAAGTCTCCTCCCTGTATACCTGTCCTTGTAGTCACCTACAAAGTGTGAGGGTGTCTTGCTTCAATGTCAAAGCTTTTGGAATATGAAGAAATAGATAGAGCTTTGTTTTCTTCCTTCTTTTTAAAATGAATTAATTAATGAATGTATTTTATATCAAGGCTCATTTTTAGTTTTTTAAAGGTTCTATTTAGTTATGCATACAGTAATGGGGAATAAGACAGAGGTGCAGGGGATGTGAGAGAATTCACCAGAGACAGAGTGGGGAGCAGAACAGGCAGATCTACTGAAATACACTGCTGAGGGGACCAGCGGGTAAGACAGGAGAGGTCTGTTCCACCATGTGGATCACCTCCGGGGTGGGGATTGAACTCTCACTGAAGCAGTCACAGCTTGACTTAGCTTTGCAGTGCAGCGCTCCAACCTGCTGTGCCACGAGGGAGGGCCCTCATTGTTCATTTTTAAGCAGTGTTTACGTCCCCCCTGCACCCAGCTGTAGACTCCATAGAATTTCCTCCCCAGATTCACCCATGCATCAACACTAAAATCCCCTGTGCTCCTCCTCCCTCCTTCTAATCCTTCTCCCTCCCACTCCCCTGCAGGATGTCTCTGGTTTATAATTATTTTCTTGTTTTTGTTTTATGTTTTATATTGCTATTATTTTCCCCATGTCTTATTTAGTTACCTTATATTCTTCCTATAAGTGAAACCATCCAATATTTTTCTTTTTCCTTCTGACTTATTTCACTGAACATAATTCTTTCTAGTTCCATCCATGTTGCTGTAAATGACATTAATTTATCTTTTTGATTGCTGAGTAATATCCCATTATGCATATATATTTCCAGGCCTTACCTATTACAAATAGTGCTGCAAAAAAAAAAAAAAAGAGTTAATGTTTTTATGTCTTTTGCATAGATCCTTAGGAGTAGAACTGCTGGATCACATGGTAGCTCTATTTTTTAGTAGTCTGAGAAACCTCCATACAGCTTTCTATAGTGGTTGTACCAGTTTGCACACCCATAAACAATGTAGGAGAGTTCCCTTTTCACATCATCCTCATCAACATTTGTTGCTAGTTTTTTGATATGTGCCATTTTTATTGGTGTAAGTTGGTATCTCATTGTAGTTTTGGTCTGCATTTTCCTGATTATAAGTGATGCTGAACATCTTTTTGTATGCCTGTTGGTCATTTGCATTCCACTTTGGAGAAGTGTCTTTTAAGTTCTCCTGTCTGTTTCTTGATTAGATTGCTTACTTAGTTTTTGTTGAGTCCTGCAAGTTCTTTGTATATCTTTGTGATCATCCCTTGTGATCAGGGCAAAGACTATTTTTTCCCAATTATTAGGGTGTTTCTTTGTTTTGGTTAATGTCTTTTTTGTTGTACAGAATTTTTCAGTTGATGTAGTCCTAGCTGTTTATCTTTTCTTCTCTATTCTTAGAAGAACTGGAGATGAGGATAGTGAAGGGTGACAAAGATATCTTCTCTCCTGAAAGATGATTTCATGTCTTGACTTCCTTTTCTCAAATTCTTACCAGATATGAGATGAAGAGTTCCCTAACTTGGAATAATTAAAATCATTTCAAATATAGAGGTAATTCACACAACGAATAGAATGTTAGGTCAGAAAAGAGCCTGATATCCCAGGCAACCAGACTGAAAGAAGAAGATAAAGAAGAAACACTAGAAAAGGCTTAAGGTTATATTGTGAACTAAGTGATCTAAAGCATTCAGCACTAATTTTCTATCTATATCTCTGGGTTTTACTCTCCTCAAATGAAGGTAAGGATGAATATAGTTACTTCACTAAGTTTTCCTGAAGATAAAAGTCAGATTTCAAATAAAATACTACAGTGCATATGCTATTCAGTTCCACAGCAGCCCCCCTACCCCGCCCCCACTCATCGCCCTCATCCCACCACAGGGTAAATCTCTGCTCAGATCAACCTGACTTCAGAGTCCAAGTTCTGAATCCCGTCACACATCCCATCTCCAAAGAAGTCTCTAAATATCATTCTAAACTTGAGTGATATAAGACTGCCCAAAGGTCAGAGTCATCAGAACCCCAAGGAATTATCTGACCCCAAGCTGTCATTCTACAAATGAGGACTCTTCAGCCCTGATTAATGAATCTGTCTGGAATTTCAAGCTCATAACTTGGGGGGAAGATCCCAGGTGGTTCTAATTCTAGACTAGAAATCTTTCCACTATGACATACAAGTTATTTCTTTGACCACATGATCTTACTTGAATAGCCTTGGGCTTAATATTGACCTAGAATGTAGTCAGGAAAGCCTTGAAGAAAGATAATTGAAAACACAAACTAGGGCCTCCCTGGTGGCCTAGGAGTTATGTCTCAGTGCTATCACTGCTAACACCTGAGTTCTATCTGAGACCAGGGAGCTGACCCATGTGGCCCTGCAGACCTTTCTTGTCTCGCCCCTGCTCCCCTCAGCAGTGTATTAGAGTAGATCTGACTATTCTTCTTCCTGCTCTGTTTTTGGTGAATCCTCTCACCCCCGCACCTCTGGCCTGTACCCCAGTTCTTCAATGCAAAATCTAGTAATAAAAATTAACAACAACAACAACAACAAAAACACAAATTAGTTGACACCACAAGAAGGTGAGTTATTGAAACTCGTGGCTGTGTCTTTTCACTCATCTCTTGATAGAATGTGCGCTTCTTGAAGGAAGATCTCTACCTTATTCACCACTGTGCCTCTAGGATCCTGATTTAATATGAGTTTGTTGATAGGTGGACCGATAGCTAGGTAGGCGAAAGGAAAGGTAGCATAGAATCGGGGTTGGTTCATACATTACAGACTTCTGAAAACAAAATGAGTTAATATTGTCCAATTCAATGACCAAGAGCACTGAAATTCTTTTGACTTTCTGTTTCTTGCTTTTTACAAAGAAAAGTAAGAGACAGGTTGGAAGGTAAGTGTTGCAGATGACATGAGACTAAGTGTTAGAGCATTCAACTTTATCTTTACATGGATATGATTATTTAGAAATAGTCATGTAGGTTGAAATACATGGCTAACAATAAAATGATGAAAATCTGGGAATAAGTGTCAACATTGTAGTGACTTGAAAAAGACTTGAAATTATGCAAGCAAGTATATATTTATAAAAATTATAAAAATACAGATA